GGGGGGGGGGGAAGGGTTCATCCCCTACCTCCCTGTCATGGCAGAGGAAGACATCGGTCGCTAGGTAGGCATCATCGCCCCCCACTGGCCGGCCACGACCGGCCAACCAACCAACCGGCCGACCAGCCAACCAACCAACCAACCGGCCGACCAGCCAACCAACCAACCAACCGGCCGACCAGCCAACCAACCAACCAACCGGCCGACCAGCCAACCAACCAACCAACCGGCCGACCAGCCAACCAACCAACCAACCGGCCAGGATTGACACCTGCGGCAACACCCGTGTCGCGTGGCCGCAGCAAGCACCACCCGGCTCACCACTTCCAGCCATGTCGTACCCCTCAACACCCGGACAGTCAGCAGGTCTCGAGGTATGCGACAATACAGGAGGAGGGAGGGAGGGTGAGGGTGGGTAGGGTGGGTAGTGTCGAGCGAGGCGCGTGGTTTGCGTGTCGCTAGTGCCGGTTGCGTGCTCGTGCGTTGCGCAACATTCTCACGGATATATTTTTTTTCCTTCTTTGCGTCCATTCCGCGACCCATGCTCAGATCTGGCGCGTGGAGAACATGCGGCCTGTGCCGTGGCCCAAGGAGAAGTATGGTACGCTGTACTCGGGCGATGCGTATGTGGTGCTACACACCAAGGAAGGCCGCGGCGGGCGGCAGAGCTTTGACGCGTACTTTTGGCTTGGCTCGGAGAGCTCGACCGACGAGCGCGGTGGGGCGGCGCTGCTGACGGTCGAGCTGGATGACCTGTTGGAAGGGCGGGCGGTGCAGCATCGCGAGGTCGAGGGCCACGAGTCGACTCTGTTCCTCTCGTTGTTCAAGGATGGCCTGCGGTACATGAGTGGCGGCATTGAGTCGGGCTTCCGGGCGGTGAAGCCCGACGAGTACGAGCCGCGGCTGCTGCACATCAAGGGCAAGCGGTATGTGCGAGCGGTGCCGGTCGAGCTCAGCTGGCGATCGCTCAACGAGGGCGACGTGTTTGTGCTCGACCATGGCCTCACGATCTTCCAGTTCAACGGCGCCCAGTCGTCACGCCGCGAGCGCGGGCGGGCCATGGAGCTGACGGTGCGGATCCGCGACAGCGAGCGCGGCGCGCGGGCGCGGATTGTGCTCGTCGACTCGCGCAACTCGCACGACGTTCTGCAGGCCGATCTCGACGAGTTCTGGTCCCTGCTCGGAGGCCCGGTGCCGGCCGGTGAGGCCATCGCCGCCGGTGACGACGACGACGCCGCGTTTGAGGACGCAACAGGAAGCGCGACGGTGCTGTATCGGGTTTCGGATGCGTCGGGCGAGATGAGCGTCGTCGAGGTCGGCCGGCCGCCGCTCTCCAAGGCCATGCTCGACACCGAAGACGCCTTTGTCCTTGACTGCGGCGCCGAGCTGTTTGTGTGGGTTGGGTCCGGCGCGACCAAGGCCGAGCGGCGCGACTCGATGGCCATCGCCGAGAACTTTCTCACCACAAACAGCCGCCCGCTCCACACGCCGATTACCCGCGTTGTCGAGCGCGGCGAGACGACCCTGTTCAAGGCCAAGTTTGCCGACTGGTTTGCGGCCGAGCGGGCGGCGCTGACGGCAGCCAAGGAGGCGGCGGCTAGCGAGAGCGCCGCCGCAAGCGCCACTGCCCAACCCGAGGTTGACGTCGAGGCGCTCCGCGCCGCTGCCCGCGAGTACGAAGAAAAGACCATTGACGATGGGTCCGGAACCGTCACCGTGTACCGGATCGAGGACTTTGAGCTCGTCAGAGTCGACCCGCAGCTTCACGGCCAGTTCTTTGCCGGCGACTCGTACGTAGTGCAGTACGCGTACCGCAACGGCAACCGCGACGAGGAGCTGCTGTACATCTACCAGGGCCGCGACTCGACCGCCGACGAGCGCGGCGCTGCCGCGCTCCAGGCTCGCAACCTCGATGCCCAGTCGAAGGTGCCGGCAAGCCAAGTCCGCATCGTGCAGGGCAAGGAAACGTTCCACTTTCTCTCGCTCTTCCCGTCGGGCGTGGTCATTCGCTCCGGCGGCGCCGCGTCCGGCTTTGGCAACGTCAACGAGACCGACGCGTACGATCCGCCGGACGCAATCCAGCTCTTCCACGTCCGCGGAAGCCGGGCCGAGAACGTGCGGGCGGTACAGGTCGAGCCGTTGGCGGCGTCGCTCAACGCCAACGACGCGTTTGTCCTCGACGCCCCGGGCCACCAGTTTGTGTGGCTCGGCGGTGGAGCGTCCCTTGCCGAGCGGGCGATGGCGTCGGCGGTGGCAAAGACGGTCTCGCGCGTGCCGCGTGACTCGGTGGTTGTGGAAGAGGGCGCCGAGCCGCAGGCGTTTTGGGACGCGCTCGGCGGCAAGGGCGAGTACGCATCGTACGCACATCTCGTCGAGGTGCCTGTCGAGCCGCGACTGTTTTGGTGCTCCAACGCCACCGGCTCGTTCCGGGTCGAGGAGGTGCCCAACTTTGCGCAGGAGGATCTCCTCGGCGACGACGTATACGTCCTCGACACCTTTGTTGAGGTCTTTGTGTGGGTCGGCGCCGGCGCCAACGCCGAGGAGCGATCCAAGGCGGCGCAGCTGGCGGTCGACTACGTCGACAGCGCCGACGACGGGCGTGACTCGGCCAACGTCCCGATCCTGGTCATCCAGGCTGGCCACGAGCCGCCGCTCTTCACCTGCCACTTTCACGCGTGGGACGCGTCGGCAGCCGCTTCGCTTTCGGCGGCCTACGACGACGCGGGCCTCGCACAGATGGCCGGCGTTGGGCGCGTGGTCGGCTCCGAGTCGGCTGCTTCCGCGTCCGCCTCGGCTGCCGACGGCGGAGGCAAATCGTCGCC